AAGAATGTAACTTTAAGATATAGCACCTTTTGTAACATGTTGTTTTGCAGGAGGAAGAATAAGTGGACAAGTGGGATAAAATCCCATATGTAGATTTGTTGTTTTTCCTGAAAAATGATCATGGAACAAAATGGAAATGTAAATTGCTGGTATCTGATTTGAAGATGTTAGAAGGGAATATGGTTTTGGTAACTGATTTGAATGATTATGGAGGACAAAAGGAAGGTATCTCAGTTTTGTTTGGCTTGCAGTACAGAGAAAAGTGTTTGAAAGGCCATTTGTAAGTAGATGATGGGGAAGAGGATGTGCAATTGATGGTCTGTTGGGAAAAGGAGAATTGATGATAATTCCTTTATGATAAAAAAGGAAGAATAAAGCGAAGACCTGAGTCCAGTTGCAGGCAGGGCTCAAGCACAGCAAAATGCTGTGATTCAGGCTCCACTACATCAGGCACTGAGAGCAGAGAAAACACTTGTATATGTAAAAGTTCCTTTTCAACTGAAGATTTAATGAATTGGAAGAAGTCAGTTACTTAAAAATGCTTCTGAATACTTTACTTGCACCCAAGTATTTATTCAATACCATACTCTGAATGGAATTGAATAAAACTTGAGAGGAAAATGAGAGATAAAATACTAGGGAGAAAACATTTTATGTTGCCCCAAGAACCAGACTGGGATCAAATAGAGGTGCGTAAGTTGATAATTAAACAATATCAGCAGCTAATATTACATGCAGTAAAACATGCAGTGCTTAGACCTGTTGTAAAACTACATCAAGTTGTACAGGGCAAGGCTGATGATCCCTCTAATTTTAAAAGCTGTTTTGTGAGACTGCTGAAAAATGAACAGACTTGGATCCTGAAGATGAAGCTGAACAACAGATTGATGACAACTGGGATCCATTTGGACAATGCAAATAGAGATGGCCTTGGTTACAAAAGCTGTTACTAGAACTGTTATTCTTGTTTATARTATTCATTTGTATCWTAGGTTGTRTTCCTTGTRTAAYGGTKTTACTGTGGGATACCTGCCCAGGCTAAAACAGATAACGGGCCTGCATATACCTCTCACTCAATCGCAGCATTATTTCAACAGTGGGGTATAAAACACTGCACTGGATCCCTCACTCGCCTACGAGTCAAGCCATTGTTGAGTGTGCCCATGGCATCCTGAAAACCATGCTACACAAACAAAAACCCATCCTCAGGGGATACTCCCCTCAGGAACGGTTGCAAAAGGCCCTGTATGTACCTAACATTTTAAATCGAGAAACAGACAACGTACTCCCAGTGCAAAGACACTTCGGCATTATCACTCAGGAAAAGCTAAGTACAGCTTTAGTGAAAATCCGAAACTCTGAGTCACTCTGATGGGGAAAACCTGTACCTTTAATAACACAGGGACGAGGGTATGCTTGTGTCTCTACAGATCGAGGACCACGATGGGTTACAGCGCAGTGGTTCTGGCCAGCATTGCCTGCTGCAGCATCTTCGATACCCTCACTGCCAGAGGAAGAGCGATACCATGGACCTCCCGGCAGCCAAAAGAGACCCTTCACTAAAAGGACTGTGGGTTGTTGCTGCAGTGCTATTTGTAATCTTTTTTTTTGGATCATGCTTTGTGTTCCATGCTTGTTAAAGTTAATGCAATCCATTGTTAAATGCCCTCTGAATTAAGTATTGCCAGTATGATATATGGGAATGGAAATAACAAACTGAACAATCTTTTGCTTAGCCATGTTAATGCAAATTGTAAAGTCTCTAATTACTGTATTAACTGTATTTTGTTTATTGTTAGTGTATCTATCAATGACTGATTCATCATTCAACCAAGTTAAGGCTGCTTAACTAGGACCAGCTATAGCAATCTAAGAGTTAAACAAAACAGAGATAGAGAACACCATTGGTGGGAAACTCTTCTCAGATGGTCAACAAGAGCAACGGGAATTTTTAATCTTATGCTTCATCCAATTGTGATGTTACTAGCTCTACTGTTATTAGGTGTATTATGTGCTCATAATAGCAATACTTTATGCTAAAATGTTTACTTACCACTAACCTGTGAGTGAGAGAATTATCGATACGCTATTTATGGCACAGAGGCAAGAGGTGACCGTACCACCACTCTGTGATGATAAGATGGATTGACTATAGTCATGGGGTGGAGTGTGACGGATACGCTCCTTTCCCAGCTCAACCTGGCCTGTACCTTACATGCAGCCCTGTTCCGTTGCTAACCACCAGCAATCTATCTAATCCTGGTAGGCACCACCATCCTGATTTCTTCTGCCACTTGGACTCAACATAACATTCCTGAAGGCTGCATCYCAAAGGGGCGGTAAGGCTAGTGCACTAGCCAATGGGCCTCTGAAATGAAAGAATGACTATTAAGTCAATCATCTTATCCTATAAATATGTGGACAGCCCGAGAGCCCTTTGAGCTCTCCTGACACGGCTGCGGCCTGCACRGCAGGATCTCCCCTTGAGCAGGGACGCCTCTCAAGGTTACTCCTCGAGGTTGAGAGACCCCTCTTCCCACAACAGATTTGTGGTAAGTGAACATAGCGCGCTCGCTTTCTTTAATTTTACTCTGTAACTGTGCACAAGAACCCTTAGTCATAAACCGTTGACCAGGTCTGGGACTAGGATTGGATCCAGCCGCACCCAGACTCCTCTCAGAAGGAGCCTGAAAAGCAAGGGGGTCCAATCTGAACCTCGTGACCCAACGGGAGGGTATCCCAAGATAATTKTGTATTATCTTGAGCCTCCATGCAGTGAATAATAAGTGACCTTGCCATAGAATCTCGTGAAACCATTGTCCATATTAATAAATCCTGTTATTATTTCTTTCATACGAGTGAAGTGCATTTGTCACTCACCCCTGCCACCACTCGTTCTGTGACACCCAAGGACAAAAAAAAAAAAAAAAGTCATTAACTTCTGCACTTATAAATTCACCTTTCTTAAAGATTTTCAGTTAGAAAGTCTCATCCATTCAAACTGCAAAGACAAATAACTGCTTACTCTAATTACTCGTGTATGCATCTTCAGAAGTTATTTTTAATAAACAAATGAGGAAACGAGTGTCTACTGAAAACTGCTCACAGCTGTTTGAACCCCAAATGCAAACAAAGATTTGCCTTAATTCTGTGGTACTRTTAGTGCCAAATACAGCTACATTTTCAGCTTCTGCTTCAGTCCCACTGCTGCTGTGTGGTGAAACRTGCCGCTCCACTCCACTCCTTTTTCGTCTATAAATTCTCCTTCACCTTCCAGCCTGTAACAGCAGAAATCCAGTTTGTTAATGAAGCGTGCAGTCTGTTTGTGGTAGCATGGTAATATGTGCACCAACTAGATAAATTATTAAGAATCAAAATGTTCCTACTCTAGACCTGCCTTAATTTTCTTCCCACATAGTAGCCTATAAAACTTTTGACTAAGAGGCTAGGAAGACTTGTGAAGCATATGGGTTAAACAGCCAAGTTACCTACTCCTGCCTTTGCAGAAATGTATTTACACCATATTCCTAGCACATAGCCTGCACAGGAATAGTGTCATAGTCCTTGTCATGTTTCAGGGTTCCTGAGGACCAAGTTTTGTGAAGTTTATCCTGACCTTTGGGGGCATCCTAAAGGTGTATACATGTATGCAACCATTCAGTGTGTTATCGCTGAAAAACAACAACAACAAAAATGCTCTTACTCTTACCCCCTCACTGTCTGAGTGGTGCTATGATAAAGTGAAGGGATTTACAGCCTCCTGTGGTGAAAAGAATGTTACTGCTATGTGATTTCACTTCTCATAAGGCACATATCTCTACCAATTTTTGAAAGCTGTGATCAAGCTCCTAATTATACCTGCTAGAAAGAAGAAATGCCTATGTACCAAAATTCCTTGCAAATGAGGAAAAAATAACCTTTCAACCCATACTGGAGATTTGTTTCCCTTAAAGATAAATAACAAACCCACCTAGCAGTCACAGCTAGTTGCCACAGTGCTGCCTATATCATTCTCCCCCSCAAAATGTAGTGATCTGGTGAGTAGTAGCTTGTGTGCACAGGTGGAAACTAGAAGACCAGAATCTTGGCTAAACAGCCTGCATTAGGCTGCCAGAGCGCAGCATGTGCTAATAACTACAAATAAGTGTCAAACAAGAAAAAGTTTTAATCCTCAGGGGAAAATGGCAGTGTAGGTAAAGACGGGCTCTCTGCTGCATTTTAATTTAGATCACAAGTCTGACTCAGCATCAGCTGTTTTGTTCTATGGATCAGATACTAGCGACAAGCACCAGTGACAGCAGTGCTCTGCTGGCACTTCTGTATTGGACTATACTTTTTGACATGAGAACAGAGGCTTTACCCTAACAGTCTTGAGAAGAAAACAGCTGTAAAGCCCTATATGGGAGCTCTTGATGAATTTCTTCACCACAGTGATGGTTGTTTGCAGTTCTAGTCCTCATGCAGAAGTCAGATGGCATTTAACATGACAGCAAAGAAGGAAGCTCTTGAGCAGATGTTAACATGCCACTGTAGTAGGAACATCATTTAAATTAGATCTGTTACACTAGATTAGAACATTAGGCCTGTTCTGAAGCATTGAAATGTATTTCTTTCTCCTCAAATTATAGCTTGAGATTATACAGGTTTCCATTTTATATCCAACTACATTCTGCTAGGGAGTACTGAATTTGGTGTCTTTTAAAAACAGATTTGGTCACACTTCTAGTATGGCTATAGGCTATTCACAAGGGCAAGGAGGGGTGTTATCTGATGAAATACTAACCACTGCCAACACGCTTACCTTTTAGATTTATTTCAGATGTAGGACTGGGGAGTACTTAAAAAAAATCAAACCTCACAAATTTGTAAAAGAAGTAAATTAATAAGAATAAACAAAAATGTCCTGATGTAATGTCTAATTTACTCATTAGATCTSGGGTGTGGATTATACGATGTCAGCTTTTTGGTTTAGGAGAAGGCAGTATTTTAGCAATTCAAAACAAAGGCACTTGCGAACAGTTATTCAGTAGAAATTAACTCAGCTGCTGCTTTATATGAGCAGCCCTAGAGTCTTTATTCTGAGTGATAAAAATAAATCTTCACATTTTTTCATCTCTTTTTTATCTCGGAATTTTCACTTGATCTCAGAATAAAACAAAAAAGTCACGAGCAACTATCAGCACAAATCAGCACTGTTTCTTTATGAGCCTATAGGCAGACAGCTTGAAACATTAACTGAAATAGGTCAACTGAACTGTGGGCAAGCCCAAAGCCTGGGTAAAAAAAAGTAAAGGTGGGATAAGCATGAAAAAAAACATGGACTTCTGATTATCTCATGAAAAACATATTATTGGAATCATTGCACTCAGACACCGGTGCTAATTTCCTTGATCAAAAGAAATATATTCCCATGCCAGGTGAATTTTAATCAGACTTCACAGCTTACTCCTTGAAACTGCTTGGAAGAGACTTTGTGACTCATCAGCTTTAAACCTACTTGTTTTCATTGAACAGCCCGATGTACTTGGCTCCATTTGGAAACGTGTAAGTCCCTGCTCCGTGAAACATGTTGTCCTTGAACTCGCCTTCATAAACGGCCCCAGAAGGGTGTTCCAGCCTTCCCTTCCCGTTCATCTACACTTAAGGAGAGACGGCGGATACGGAAGAGCGCTGTCCGTGTTTATGTGGGACGCGGGGTGTCCTGGCGTGACGGGGTGGGAATCTACCTTGTCCCTTTCCCAGTGGCCGACGTAGGAGAGGCCGTCGGGGCTGGCGTGGGCGCCGTGGCCGCTGCGCTGCAGCGCGCCCTCCGCCGTGCGCACGCACTGCCCTTCTGCGGGCAGGCAGAGGCGGGAAACAAGGAGGGAAACACAGAAAGAAAGAAAAAGGGGCGGGGAGGCAGGAAATAACGGCAATACAGATAAGAAGTGGAACTAAATAAACAAGTTGGGCCTCTTTGGAGGAACGCGTGGCCTCCCTCCCTCACCGTACGTGTCCTTGTTGGGGAAGACAAAGGAGACTTTATAAACCGTCGCATCTGTTGGAGAAAGGAGGAAAGGGGGAAGGCAGGCGTTGGTCTTTTTGATGGTTTTTGGTTTT